AATGTGTTGCTGCAAAGGTTGTAATCCTTAGGTGATAATATGGGTAACTTTAATGCTGCATCCCATGCAATGATTTTTAATTCCAGGAGGTCCATGAAATAAAGGAGAGTTGAAAACAAGCACTTGGTACCACAACAGCCTTGCTCAGAGATTTTGAACAGAAATGCTGTAAGAATCTTTAAAGCATGTAATACTTTTAGTCAGGGACACTGACCTCTTTTCCCTTAGACTGTCAAAGTAAAAAATGACAACAACCAACACAACAACATCCATCCTGTGTGAAAGTACCTCCTTCAACCATAAATATACAGGTCATATATAGAGTTGAATCTTATTGATCATGTCACATAATAAGCTTGTGTCTGACTGGTTAATTCTTGGTACAGCAATCCAGAAAGCATCCAGCCATGTAATATGAAAAATAAAGACACTTATTGAAGAAGATATAAGATACAAGAAACCTTGCACAAAGGACAATGATGGCTCAGTGTCCTCAAAGCAGTCACTTTGGGACCTCACACAGTTCTCCCAGCATCTCTTCCATTGTTCAAAATACTCTGCAAAATCCTTTCTTTGATTTCTGTCATTCTATTTTTTGAAATCTCTTTGATGGTCTGAAATCTCTTCCCTTTCAAAGGTGATTTTAGTTTTTGGAAAAATCAGAAGTTGCAGGGTGTCTAATTTGGGCTGTAAGTGTGCTGAGTCACCTGGGAGATTTGTTTCACCAAAAAATCTCTGCAGGAGATGTGATGCATGAGCAGGCATGTTGTTGTGATGAAGGTGAAATCACCAGAAGTCCATAACTGCTGCTGTTTTTGTCCTGTTGCATCCCTCAAATCACAAAGAATGCTGAGGCAGTACTCCTTATGAATTGTTTGGTCCCCAGGCAAGTACTCAGGATGGACAACACCTTCCCAATCAAAAATCACAGGTAATGTGGTCTTGATCTTGCTACAACCTTGCTGTGCCTTCTTCAGGCATGGAGAATCAAGTGACTTCCATAGTGACAACTGGGCCTTCATTTCTGGATCACAGCCATTGACCCACAGTTTATGTTTGGTGTGGACCATCTTGAGAAAATCTCGTTCTTTGGTAACAGTTTGAATCAAGTCATTAGCAATTGAAGCATGATGTTTTGTCTGCTCTGGTAACAGAGTCCCCTGAAGGTATTTTCCCATGCCAAGATCCTGCATCAAAATCTAAGACACAGTAGCCTTTGGAATCCCCTGATCAGCTGCTAGTTCTTGCATTGTCAGTTGCCCATCTTTGTTCATTGCAAAGCTTACCCGCTCACATTCTCAGGTGTTTAGTTTGTTGTAGATCTTTCAGAAGAACATGGGTTACTTTTAACAGATTATCTACCACTTTTGAAGCATTTCTGCCACACTTTATTGTTTACACTGCACTCATTGTATCATCTTTGAAAGCCTTCTGAAATATGTGAATAGCTTCCACAGAGGAATATTTAAGCTAACCACAAAATTTGTTGCAGGTTCATTGCTCTATACTTCCTTAGTTATTTTGAATGGATGGCCACACAGTACACATGCTCAGTCAATGTTGTCTACTGCCCCCACTGACTAATACAGCAAAGTTTTCATTGTTCACACATGTGCATTCCAGTCCACTCTCCTTGGCTGCCATGTTACAATGATGTCATGCAAACCATTCTCATTACAAAAACAATGGCTGGATATTTTTCAGACAGACCTCTTTATATACAAGTGTGAGCACCTGATATTTTAAAAAGTTACACTGAAGCAAAAACAATAGGTCATAGTATTACTATTTTTTACAAGTCAGTCAAAATTATACCTCCATTTTTTCACATGAGCAAAACATACATTGTACCACAGAAGTTTAGTAATTAGTTAATTGTGCCATCACAGAGAAAAGTCAAAAATCGCTAATCTGATGACACAGACAGCTACTATGTGATTAGTAGTTGTGTAACACAAACACTGTGAATACCCTGTATATTACTTATTTCTTTTAATTTTTACTCTATGAAAAGATGGATGTTAGCTGAACCTATTGTGATCATCATTTTGCACTATATGCAAATCAAACATTATGCAGTAAATTTTTGTTTCTTTTGATACTCATGTGTCATTTAAATTGTCTTTCAAAAGTCTACTTTTTCTGTCCTTCCCATTTTTTAAATTAGAAAAAAACATTAAATTACCTTTGTTTCACCATACATAGATTTGTGCTTTTGTCACTTAAAACAAATATTCCAATTAAATTACAGACAATTAGTAATGGTTTGAAAAACAATCAACAAAAATATAATTAGTTGTTTTGTAACAATTTATCCTCTGCCATGGTGATATAGTTCAATATTGTTTAATGTTTTATCTTTCACAGAGATATTATCTTTTCCGAGGGATGTCTAAACAACAATCAATAACAATAAATGAATGAAAGAATTTTAAGAACTAAGGCAAGAAATTGAGAAAAATATGGGATCAGTGATTGTAACAGTTACCATAACAGTGAAAATGTAGTGATTTTTCAGAATATTGCTGGAAGTATCATCAAATATCTACTGTTTATGGAATTATAATTTTTAAATTGTTTCCATTATAATAGAAATGCCATAGAGAATATAACGAGGGAAATATGTACTGCTAAAATTAAATAACCCTACTAGGAGTAGAATTTAAACATGTAAGATATTGTCTTTCTTCATTGTTTTAAATTGTTGTTCAAGTACAGTTTTCTGCCCTTTACCCCCATCCCAACCCACCCTCCCAGGCCTACCTTGCTCCCTCCCATCTCCACCCCACCTTGTTATTGTTGATGTGTCCTTTATACTAGTTCCTTCAAACCTTTCCCCACTTCTTCTGAAATTCTCTCCCCTCTCTCCTCTGGTCACTTTCAGCCTGTTTTCAATTTCAGTTATTCTTAACCAGGCCTAAGAGTTCAGAGTCTGTGATGAAGATGGAAGTAAATTCACAGCATAAGTGGTCTAGTCTTTGTCCCTTAATACCTTTCAGATTAAAAAACAATCTTCAGATGCATTTGCCAAAGGACAAACTGAATGACACCCTGCCAGGCCAAAGTCTCCTAGATTCTGGAGGTGTGTGATGAGATACACACTCTTCAAAATAGCCCATGTGTAAGAATTTCCTGTTCAAACTTTAAGTGACACATTATTAAGAAATCTGATTGTTCCACTCATGCCTCACTCTGAGCCTTCACAGATCAGTCTGTGAAGACCACAGAGATTGTTTGTTTACAAGAGTTAGCTGGTCTCCCACTACAGGATGCAGGACTTTCTGGCCTTCAGAAGGTATGTGTGTGTCTCTCCTCTCCTGTCTCTGTCTTAGCCCATCTCATGTAGGGGGAGATTACAATGAAAAATGTGATACAAGTGAGATATGATTAATATACAATCAAATCAGAGAGAACATTGGTATTTTATCTAAATAACTTAGGGTGAAAAATCAAGAATAAAGTATGAAATATGTTGGAGGATATCTTGAACTATTCAAATTGTTGTCTATAGAAAATTACTCAAGTGTATATATACAAGAATAATTGAGTGTGTTAATCAAAACAATTTAAAGTAAAAATCTTATAAGAATTATGAAAAGGAACAGCTATTTTTGAGTTTGTAATTAATAGAGATACAATATATATTATTTTATATTTAGTCCAGCCTCAAAAAGAGATTTTTTAAATAAATTATATTAATTACGGAGGTCAAACATAATATTTTATATACTTAATTAGATTAAATAAATGCAGTTGGCTTTCAATAAAAATCAGGATGAGGTACTCTCATAAAATTCTAATTGAATCTTAATTATAAACAATCAAAAGGCTTTTTAAAAATTGAGCACCATTGCTGGGAATATACAACACAGATGGACACTTTGCCTAATGAATTAAGGTATAGCATTCAACTGGTATGAATCAGAAATAACATAAAAATGTGTTCAAATTATATTAGGATAACTAAAATATTATGGAAAGCTTAAAAAGTTGAAATATTAAATGTTTTACAGGTATTATGTCGACATGTTTTCATTCCCACTTTATATTAGTAAACTATGTGGCTAGACACTAAGTAGCTTTGTAAAGGTCATACATTGCAAATTTCAAAGCCAGAATTAATTCTAGAACTCACTGGCCACAGAGCCCATTGACTGAATTGTTAAATTACAGCATCTGATTCATTACTATGCCTCACACAACTGAAGGTGCCCTGAGTTTAACATGTATGGGAACTGTCTGGAAGTTTGAAACAACAGTGTTCTAACATAAATGATCTACACATTTATTTCACATTTTATACTTTTATATTTTTGCCCTTAATACAAAAGCCAATTTCTTGGGTAACATAAATGTTCAAAAAATTTAACTTTGTTATCAATATGTTTAGGTCTTGAATAAGTTTGGCATGACAAAGATTTTTAAAATATGAAACATTTTTATTCAAATTAGAAGATCATTTGATAACAACTCACCCTCTTTAATGAATAAATGTATGTCACTAAATAAAAATTTAGTTCAGAAAATTACTAGATATGCCAATATGATTAGTGCCCCATCTTGAGGGCACTCAGTCTTTAATGATTATTTGACTTCAAATTTATCATAAATATTGTGTCTGTTTTTTCTAATATTGTTTTTTATTTTTAATACTAGCATTCTAATGGTATTAAAATATTTCTGTAGAATCTTACTTTAAGTAAACAAAGATGTTATTTATTAAATTATTTTATTCATCACTAACATACAGATATTTGTTGCTCAAACAAAGAATATATTGTCCAATGTAGAATATCTTAGATATTGTATCTACCATGAGGCACTTCTTTAAAGATTTAAGAAATCTATAAGCACAACATCAGGTTCTTAACTGGGAAATGAGGCTGAATTTCAGCTTCTACCCGCCCAGTATCACTGAGGGATCTCTTCAGTGTGTGTGTCATTTATTTGTAAGCACACATGGTGTAGAGCTCAGTCTCAGCCACCACTCAGCTGCAGAGATGAGTGACCAAAGAGTAACTTATGCAGAACTGAATCAGGTTAAGGATGGAAACAGGCAGCACATGAAACCTAAGGGCACTAAAGACTCCATTCCAGGAACTAAGCAGGAACTAACCTATGCAGAATTAAATCTTCAAAATGCTTCTCAGGATCTTCGAGGGAGTGACAAAAATGGCCACTACAAAGGTAACACATTCAATAGACACAGTATAACTGCTCTGGAATGTGCAGCTGGATGCAGAGGTGTAGGGGATAAGCTCACATATTTTTTCATCTTAAGGATCAGGACTTGAAGTTAAAATGTGGTATTCTCAGATGAAAGCTGAGGACTAATTTTATTCAGATATTGTTGTCAATTGTAGTTTATGACCAGTACTCCTGGAGCATTATATTTAGTAAAAATGCATTGATACATGGAGAGGAAGATTATGATGGTAGATATGGATTTGGGGTCCAAGTTTATGGATATGACTGTCTGTGTGTGAACTGTCTAAACAATTGTCTCCATCCCTCCTTTCTCAGTGTTTCCATTTCCCTCCCTGCAGCATCCTTGTCACCTCCAGAGAAGCTCATTGCTGGGATTCTAGGAGTCATCTGCCTTGTCCTGATGACCACTGTGGTAACAACAACTGTTATTCACTGTAAGTAAATTACTGTAAGTTTATGTGAAACTCTTCAGTTTTGTGGTAATTAGTGCCTCCAAACACTTCATAATATTATAGAACTCTAATAATATCTTTTAAAGTATGCCTTTAGACTAAATGGAAAATTGTTATTCTGAATTTGTCCAAGGTATAAACATCTGCATTATTTTACAAAGTAGTTTATTTAAGTCTTTTGGCCATTTTTTAATTGGGTTGTGTGTCATCCTGAAATGGAGTCGTGTGTGTTCTTTATATATACTTTGGAGATCAAACCTTTGTCTGAGGTATCATTGGCAAATATATTTTCCCAATTGTTAATAGCAACACAATTTACAATAGCCAAGTGCTGGAAGCAACCTAAGACCACCAGTAAATGAGTGGATCAAAAAACTATGGTACATTTACACTATGGAACACTATGCAGCAGAAAGAAAGAAAGAGTTCCTACCCTTCGTGACAGCATGGGTGGATCTGGAGAGCATTATGATAAGAGAAACAAGCCAGGACATTAAAGACAAAGACTATATTATCTCACCTAGAAATGGACCTAATGGACAAAACAAACAAACAAGCAAAATACAATCAGAAACATTGAATTAAAGAACAAACTGATAGTAACCAGAGGGGAGAAGGGAGAGGGATAATGCAGCAAATGGGGGAAGGCTCATCGAGGAACATATATAAAAGACACATGGACAAAGCCAAAGGGAGTATGTTTGAGGGTGGCAGGGGGAGATGGGTGGGATGGGGGGCATAAATGGGGTAAAAATGGAGACAATTGTACTTGAACAGTAAATAAATAAATAATAAATAAATAATTCAAAAAAGTTATATATATATACATATATACATCCCATATATCCATATATGCTCTTGTGTTATAATTCAAGGCCTGTTTTAGGACACCTTATTGAGATATACAAATAAATTCTTCATATTGATTAATCCAAATAGTGTAAGAGTTGGTGAAGTTTGGTTCTCATGGCTTTTGAAATATTTTCTCCCAAATTAGCATAACTTCATTAATTTTTCTTGGTGAAATCAATTATATTCCTGGTCATTTTAATCCTTTACAACATACTGCATTTCAAAGAAACAGAAGTATTACGATTTAGGTAGATCAACATTACTTTTAAAAAATAATTACTTCTTTTTCTAGCTAATGTAATACTGGTGCAGAATAATTCTTCTTTCCTGTACATAATATAAATTATATATTATTTTAACAGGGAGCCAGACAGGTACAGCAGAGAACCAGGCAGGGAACCAGACAATAGTTAACCAGAAAGGTACCTAATTATTTTCTATGTTCTGATATCAATACAGCTCCTACCTTGTCTCTAACACCGTCAATATTTATAGGTTAGTTTTTTGGTGGGGAAAGGCAAATTATAATACTGGGCAATAAATGTACATAAAATGAGTATAGAAGTATATTTCTTGTGCAAAAATATGAAGAAATATTCATTTAAATTCATCATACTGTTGCCAGTTGGTTGAAAGAAATTTTGGTTTCTAAAAATGTGGTTTCTTTCATTGACATTCAAGACATATAGAAAGTAGATATTTTCATTCTGTGTTTGCTTAATATGGGCACATAAATTAGGGAGTAAGGGGCTGACCCTTCTCTGTGTGTGTGAGTCTGTATGAGTGTAATACCCTTTAATATGCCAGTCTGTGATGGTCTATACATAAACTGTGCACTAATTTGTCTCTACCTATGCAAATACTGAAAATTAATTTTCATTTTTAAATTCACATTGTTCTTGGATTACAATACATAATCTTACCTCAGCATACTATTGTGGCCGATGTCCAGCAGAGTGGTTAATGTACTCCAACAACTGCTATTACATCAGCACTGAAAAAAAAACATGGAATGAGAGTTTGATGGCCTGTGCTTCTAAGAGCTCTGACCTACTCTATATAGATAATGAAGAAGAGATGGTAAGATTTTTAATGTTTCCAACATTTTATTTGAAAGGGTATTTTATTTTATATTTCAGTGGAGTTCATTCATATTTTTGTATATATCTAATTTATTGTAAGGATTGTTAGTATTTTATTGTTTGACTCTATAACATTGCAGTTCTTGATTTTCACAGACAATCAGGCTTCTATAAATAACTTTTTTTCCTAAAGTAAACTTTGCTACTTAGTTGTACCATGCATCATGGACAGTATAGATGTGATTGTGTGTGTTACAGACTGCAATTGGTCATGAAATAGTTGTTTCCAGCCCGCTCCTGTGCACTCTCTCATAACTTCTCCTCTCTCCTCACTTAACCTCTATTCAGAGATTTTATATCACAAATTATTTGTGCTTAATTTTGAATTTTATGTAATTAGAATCATTCATTTTGTATTTTACATGTGTCCACTAACTCACTCATGATATTTTATAAATTAATCCATATAATTGAATGTACATGAAGTTTGTTCATTTTCACTGCTATATTTTATATACTTGGCATTCTTTAATCTATTCTACTCAGAATAGAGATATTTTTAATATGTGGTTGCTATGAATAATTATTTCTTAAAAATCATTCTGTATTTCTTTTTCCAAATAACATATATTTAAAATAATTTATACATAATAGTACATATAATATATAAATTGATATACTCTAGATGTTATGTTTGCAAAATATAATAATAATTTATAAATGTAGTTATTCTGATGGTATATGTGTATAATTAAAATGTATTGCCTTTTTGCATTAGAATGAAATTGCAGGGTTAAAAATACATGTGTATGTAAATTATCCCTGCACTTTCTAGCTTGTTGCATAAATACACATTATATTCAATAGTTTCATGATCCAAAGTTTAGTACTACCAGAAATTTTAGTGCCATCAGTTCTGATCTTTATATAAAAGCATCATTATGACTTCCATAGGTATTTTCCTTATACGGATCAAGTGAACACATCTTTCAGAGCACCGTTCATTATGAATTTCTGTACTGTGAGAATGAGAAGTGCCCATTCATGTTTCTTGACCATTTCTCCTGTATGTTACCTGTTATTTTCCTTCTTAGAAGTAATGATATTTTGGATATAACTCCTTTTTGAATTTCTGAGATGCAAATGGCTTTCTGGATTATTCATTACATTTTTCTTCTCATATTGGAGGGGTTTTTTTGTTTTTTTTTTAGATTTTTAAAATTTATTTTATTTTTAGAGAGGGAAGGGGGGAGATTAAGAGAGAGAGAAACATCAATGTGTGGTTGCTGGTGGTTATAGCCTGCAACCCAGGCATGTACCCTGGCTGGGAATCGAACCTGCGACACTTTGGTTTGCAGCCCGCACTCAATCCACTCACTACGCCAGCCAGGGCTCTATATTGAAGGTTTTAATGACCAGGATTTATTAATGTTACCATAGTCTAATATCTCATTTTGGACATTGGTGATTATTTTGGACATATTTCACAGGTTAGCCAAAGTTCATGGAGGTAATCTATTGCATTACTCTGTATGGTTTATTTTCCTCTTTATTGATGGGCTTTTAGTTTTAGGTTTATAATACTTTGAGAATGAACATTTCTAAGATGCTGTGTTTGTTATGCTGTGTGGTAGAGGTGTAGTTCTCACTTTTCTGCATCATTACCCAGTTGATACAGCATAATTTATGGCAGATGATCTTTTCTACATAACAACTTTATATACATCAGTCTATGTATTTTAACATAAAATTTAAGAAGATGATCATTCATTGTGTCTCAAAAATTGTTTTTCTCTCTTCTTTTGTCTTTCTTTTTGTTCACAGGCAATAATTACACCTAAGTAGGTTTTACTGATAAAGTTCTATAAAGGTCTCCGAGGTTCCCTTAGTTTTTCTATCTCATTCTCCCTTCCTTCAGGAATTAATTATTTCTGTCACTCCATCTTTATTTCATCAATTCTTTCTTCTACATGTCAATATTTATATAAATATATTGAACTTTGTAATGTACATAATGATTTTTCAACTGATAATTTTGTTTGATTCATCCATACAGTTTTTATTTCCCTAATTGTTCCATCACTGCCATCATATTGCCATAGAGTTATTTGAACATAGTTTTTAAAATACATTTTAGGTACGTATATCTTTATAATAACTAGTATTAAATATTTGTATAAAAAACCCAATATCTTATCCCAGCAAAACTTATTTTGTATGGCTGATTTATCACTCTGACTATGGAAGGTATTTTTTAGTTTGTTTGCATGGTTTTAAAGTTTGGGTAAGTCCACATTTTCAATAAACATAGACCCTCCTACATGCTTATTAGATTTATACTTTTGTAACTTCAGTAAACTATTACTGTAGAATCATCTCTTTTGAAGTGTGCTGAGTTTTTGAAATTCTTGTTATAATTTTATTTTTAGGCTCAATTACTGGGATTTCCCTTGGGCCTGCATAGCTTACTTGACAACCAAGGATTTTTAAAAATATATTCAAATACCTCAAGTCAGTATGGCTCCACCCTCTGCTATTTGGTGAACTTCTGTGTGTAGTGTGTGTGTATGTGTGTGTGTGTGTGTGTGTGTGTGTGTGTGTTTGTAAGGTAGTACTCATAATTTAAAAACAGTTCTCGAATCAATTTTGGATTATGTTTTTTACTGGATCATCTTTGTTTCTTCTACACAGTGCAAATATTTTTCCCACCAATCAATTAGGTGTAGATAGTTAATATCACCTCTTGTACTGTGCTCTCATATTGAGTACCTTCCTGTTTACAGCTGACACAGACTAGAAAAAGGATGGTCTTCCTCACTTTTAACCTAGTGAGTTCAGCACTTTGACATGAAAATAGAGTGGGCAGTTTAATCACCACTTCCAAAGTAATCAGACTCCCCCCGTGGCAACACCAGTGATGTCTCAGTGTTCCCCAAACAGTGAGAATTACACCTCTTACACACGAATTGAGATGGGTATTGGGGGAGTCTTAGACACGAAGAATACAAATTTGCTCTATTTTTACTGGAACATCTAGCTGCTTTTTCCAATAATAACTGCTCCTGGTATTTTTTACTCTTTGATCAAGTTTCAGAGTTATAAAATTGTTATGCTTGTCCCTTCACTTAATCGTGCTAATACATTTTCTAAATGTGTCCAATATATAAAAGTATATTATAAATTGAATCACTCTAATCTAGAAAAAAACTGTATTTGGTTTTTCATTTTTTAAATCAGCTTTATTTACATTGCAAATATACAATTTAGTTACTTAGTATTTAATTTGATTCCAGTTGAGGTCTCATAGATTGCATATACAGCATTACCTATTTTTTTTTGAAACTGCTATGTAAGAACACTATAAAATACAAACTGTAACCTATATAATTCCCTTTCTGTATTCTGATTCAAACCTTAAAACAACATTGATATAGCCCCAATCTTGGTAGGTCAGCTGGTTAGAGCATCATCAAACTACACACAGCATGCTGGTTGATGCCCCATTATGCATGCACACAGGAAGCTCCCAAGGAATGCCACACTAAGTGGACCGACTAACTGGTTGCTCTCTCTCTCTGTCTTTCATCAATAAAAATAAATTAACAAACAATAGCATTGATTTAAAAAGGGAAGTTAGTTAATGGGCATACATCTATTTTTCTAATGAAGAATGGTAAAAAGAGCTACCTATGTAAGTAAATTAAGAGTAGCTAAAAGCTTGTGAATTTTGAAACTTTTATCAAAAAGGTCTTTTGTAAATTGCCAGTTATAAAAATCAGTCACAACAATGCAAAGCACAACATGGAGAATATAGTCAAGAATATTCTAACAAATATGCATGGTGTCAGATGGGCCCCAGATCCATGGGGGTGGTCACCTCTCAAGGCAAACAGGGGTCCAAAACAATATTGAATGTGAACAGTAAAGAAAAACATTTTTAAAGTTGTTTTCAAAACAAGTTCTCTGAAATTATCATTGTCACATATTTTCTAAGGCCAATTTATTTTGTCCAAAATCATTCTCATTGTCTAATATTAAAACCTGCATTCAAATACTCAATGTACAAATCAAACCACAAGCAAAAGCATTATAATGCTTAATACAGTCATTTAGAATATAAAGTTTGTCCTGACTGGTGTGGCTCACTTGGTTGGACATTATTCTGTAAAGGGAAATGTCACTGGTTTGATTCCCAGTCAGGGCACCTGCCTGTGTTGTTGCAGGATTGGTCAGGGATCCAGCATAGGACAGGCAACCAATTGTTGTTTCCATTTCTTTCTCCCTCTCTTCCTCTCTCTCTAAAATTAAATAAGTTGAATCTTTAAAAATAAATAAAATAAAATATAAAGGTTTAGACTTTTGTTTTATTCTCCCATGCTAATGCAGTCATAGATTTGTAGTTTTCTTAAAAGTCTTGTGCATCTCACAAACATGCAGGGTTCTCTTTCTCATATTCTGATACCCTTGATGGTTGCTGGTGGGCTTCTTGCACATGCACCCTTGCATTTCCAACGTAGCTTCTAATGTGATCACACCTCTTTTTTTTCATGAATTATCATTCCCAGACTTTTGAAAAGTTTATTAATATCCATAATATCAGCTTCCAGTTGCCTAAGAGAAGACTCTTTCATGAATAAGGTGGAGGTCATCCTCTGTAACTCCCCCACCCTGCACCTGACCTTGAGGGTGAGTTTGGCTTTTCCAGAACACAAGATTCCTTTTTTTTTGAGCTCTCCTCAGGAGTTCCACCAGATGCTCTGGAGCAGGCTCCCCACTCATGCAGAACACTCCGTTTCTCAGCTGCTCACCTTTGGGGAGTTAGACAGTGATGTTGTGATTTCAGCCACTGAGAAGTAACCTGTATTTTTCCTTTCAGGCTGTTCACTGAGGGTGGTAAGAGGAGATATGGACTGTTTCATGGACTTACTTGTCTCTTTGGCCAGTGGTTTAGAATATCATTAGTTCTGCTGCAGCTGTTGCCTCAAATGAGGTGATTCTTCGGGTGTTCCACATTGATTCAGAGTCCTTAATTTTTTCACACAAGGTCCTGTGATCTTTGGGTGTTGGATATGCTCAGACAGCTGGGTGGGGTGACCAAGAAATCGTGGATGGCAGGGTGTGGTTGATTGCTTATTCACTAGTGTCATCAGATTTTGGAGGGCTGTGCAGTTTAGTTAGCTATCACCTCCCCCTCTAACTGTGAGCCCACATTTTTGTTTTGCAAATACAAATTAATTTTATGTAATTTCTCATAAAATTTCTTTTATCATAGAAGTTTTTGAACGTTTTCAAAAATATATCCATGGACTGGACTGTTCCAGACAAATAATACTAATTCTTGGGGGGTGGACAATTGGCACAAATCTCTCTTCTGAACTGTAAGTTTCTTTAGAACTCATATATATTATTCCCTCATGCTTTCAATCATGACTTAATCTCAGAAACAAAAGACAATGATTGAACAAGTATGTGAAGGAAAATTTAATTGTTTCTTAGAAAAAATGTTAAGAAATATTCAAATTTACTATGCAAATAATACTATAAATATTTGTTTATTTAAATATTAAGTTATGTAGCCTCAGATTAATGATTTATTATCTCTGCATTTCAGATTTGCAAAAACTTCAGAGTTGGACAAGAATTGTGTATTTTGGAATTTTTGAAACACACAACTTCTATTCTGAATCCTGTCTAGAAAACAAAACATATATTTGTAAGCACCAGTCACATTAGCTCACCTAAATTTGGTATAATGTTACTCTCACCATCCCTAAAGAACACATTTCTAGTTTCTTCAAGAATGCTGCAATTATTTTTGTAAAACTAAGTTTTAAGAATTATTTTGAGATCAGTTTTGGTTTTCAGCACAAAAGTAAAAGGAAGGTGCTGACATTTCCCATGTTCCCCTGCATGCAGAGCATCCCCACTATCAGCATCACTCAGCAGAGTGGGACGTTTGTCACTGAGAATTAGTCTGTGCTGACACATGGTAGTCACTTAAGTCCATACTTTATCTGACGCTTCATCCCTGGTATTACAGAGTTGTTTTGATATCTATATTTTTGTTAACCTTTCAAAGTCTATATCCAGGTGCATATTAAACATTTAAAAATCTTGTTATTAATTAAAATATATCAAGTATAAATCATGAATTGTAATATCAAGCACTGTTACTTCTAAGTCTAAATTAACATGAATAATTGTACACACACCTTCAATATAATTTTCCCCAGCCTTTGAATGTTGAAAATGGGGACTGAACATATCAGGATAACAAGGTGTATAAGGCAGTTGAGTCAGGGGAGAGAAACCAGGGATGATTTAAAGAATTATTAAGTATTTTAGGCGGACAGCCTTCAGAGAGGGGTTGAAGAAAATTACAAAATATACCAAAAGTTAATCAAAGAAGATTACCAAAAGGAAGAATCATATATGACCCAAAGCTATCTCCTCAGCAATGGGTTGCAGACTCATGTCAGTACAGAAGGCTCTGTGGCAGACATGATGTTCACTGAATGGCTCTAGGAGAGAGAAGCTCACAGTCTGCAGGCTGATGGATCTCACAGTGTGATCGGCAAGTAGGATGACCTCTCTGACAAAGGGTCATCAGGCCCAGGTTGCAGAAGGGGAGCTCTTGCTGTAAACAGTCACAAAATCTTGCTGGAGGGTGAATATTACAAGAACTTCCTGCATGCATGCAGATACCAGCCACAGCACTGGAGCCAAAGGAGAGAAAACAGCATGAAACCAGGAAGAGGAGTCCTTTCTCCCAGTGCCCTCCACTGACAAAGCATCAAGCCAGCTGACTGGAGAAGAGGTTGTAGGATCTGCTGCCATGATCTCAGAAAGGGCAATATGTGTAGATTTGGAGCAGAGAGAACTAAATTTCTAACTGCCACTCGCTGTTACTATGCAACAACCCCAAGGTTTCTATAAGGAAAGCCATGTGACTATAATCCACTTGCTTGGACAACACAAGCAACACAAGTATCTTCTGAATCTATTTACTGCATCATTCTCAATGATTGTAGTCATTTTTTGGGTAGAGACTAGTAGTTTCATTGGGAAATAATTAGTGTTCTTTGGTATCTCTTACATACCTGTTTTTTTCCTCTACTTGATTTTAGTTATTTTTGAAGGTACATTGTTTTATTAAGCTATTTGTTTTTCCCTTTTGACATTCTGAGTTACTATGCTTAGAAACCTACTTTGAAAGAAATAACTACAAAGTTAAAAAGGAGATATAAACCTTAAAAGGATAACATGTCCATGTGAGTTAAATAGTACTTATTGACAGAATGTGGGAAGAAATTTATTAATTTGACATCATTAAGTGGTAGTTTTACTATAATTCAATTACAAATGAGAGAGATCCTATATTTGTTTATCATGTCTAAAATGAATTAATAGTTTCCTATATTGATGTGTTTGAATATATAGTGTTTATACTCTCTATATTTATTCATTATGTTCATATAAAGGAAATATGTGAACATTCAAACTTTAATTCATTGTGATATGTGTATTGAATCGTATCTAATATCTGGCATTGTATTACAAAAAACCCAGTTGTACTGGCATTTGCAAACAAACATTAATTTTACTCTATTTTTCTCATTTATCCATGTGTGGTTTGGTTGGTTTTTAGGTGATATAGGCTGAGCATGTATGGGTTTAGCTACAGACCACAGATTCAGTTCAGAGCTTTTTATATCTTTTATTCTCTGAACAGTGGGCTACCTGACATGTGACCTTCTCAGAGCAACAATTAGCCACTCCCCACAGAAATAGCAGAAATGTGCTTCTTAATGCCTGTGCTCTGAACTCATAAACTGTTACTTTCACAAACATTTTATTAACCAAACTAGTCATGTGGTCAGCCTTGTTATTTTTCAGCAAAGTATACTCTTCTCATAGTGGTCAGAGAGAAGAAATGTAGATTCGCTGACAAACAATGTAATCTACAATAACAGCCATAGAAAGATGTGCAGACGGGAGTAGTGTCCCAGGAGCAGTGACCCCTGTGGGGGTTGTGGAAATCCCAGAGGTCAGAGTATGACATATCCACACCCACTGCAGACCACATTGGTCCTCAATTTACTTCAGTACTGTAAGGTATGTGTCCTGTATTTTAACACAATCAATTTGGAAATATAGAGAGTCATCATTCAATGATATAAATAATTTCTCAAATTTAAAGTACCTCTTGTCAATAGAGGGAAGCAAATAGAAATCATTAAGCTTTTGTGGAGAACTCACCACACCCAATGATCAGGAGAATAAGTCTGAATAGGAAATTAGTTGATCAACAACAATATTTCCAAAAAAAAAATTGTCACACTTCTTTGGGTGCTCTTGGGAAAATGGTGACTTTTGTGTTTATGGTGAAAGCCCCATTCATCTCAACAGCTGCTTCTCTGACACAGTGTGAGTCTGACACCAGCATCACAGAGATTGCAGAGTCTGTCTGAAATGCTCTGCCCTCACAGATGTTCAGTATAAATAAAAAAAGAGAAATAAATAACAAGCTCTGAGAATGGACAATGTATTTGAGACCATATCTCTTGCATACTGTGATGATTAGAGGTGAATTTACCAACGTTGCTGGTTTTTAGACCAACTTCACGTCTTCATGTAAATATTACATCCCCAGTGGAACCCAATGATACTGCAGTTTTCTCCCAGATGACATTCCCAGTTATTCTAACATTGTTCAAAATGTTTTCATACAACACTTACACCTCCAAACATGATATGTTTTATTTCTATTTTAGTTTTTATTATTTTAATTTTTATTCTTGTTCAATTGCAGTTCTCCCAACATTTTCCCTGTTGCCCTCTCCTGCCCTGCCTTCCCACCCTGAGATCTATTCCCTCCCCATTGTCCCTGCCCATCAGTCTTCTCCTAATGTATTTTAATTTTTTCTGGCTTGCACCAACAGTATTTCATCTGCCACAGTTGGAAGCTTAACCTCTGAGATCAAGGGGTTGGCAGGACTATCTTCTCTGTGAAGATGCAGGGGAGACTCAGGACCATGCATTTCTCTCACTGTTGGGTGGAGCCCTCAGTCCTTGGCATCCCTTGGCTTCTAGACATCTTACTCCAGTCTCTGCCTCTGTCATATCACTGTTCTCATCCTGTGCGTCTGTCTCTGTGTCCAAATGTCCCTCTTCTTATAGCATATCATATGTATTAATTAAGGGACTTCTTACACCAATATGACCTTATCTTAACTTGTTTCCATTTGCAAAGACCCTATTACAGAAGGTCACATTCTTGTCCTGTTGCGGACATTAATTCAGGGGTTGGAAGGTGTGGGGATGAAACACTAGAAAATGACTAAAATAAGCAGGTTAATGTCCAAATCTTTTTTATTTTATTTATTTTTAGAGAGGGGGAAAGGGGGAGAAAGACAGGGAAATAAACATCAATGTGTGGTTGCCTCTCATACACCCCACCCTGGGGACATGGCCCTGCAACCCAGGCATGTGCCCTGACTGGGAATTGAACCAGAGACCCTTTGGTTCATAGGCTGGTGCTCAATCCACTGATCCACACCCAACCTCCTAATGTCTAAATCTTTTATCTGAGTGTCATTGTAACTGGAGAGTGTATACTGTTTGTTGTTTCTAAAAACTCATTTCCAACCATGTGCTTATTGAA